ATAATATCCCAGGTATGTCTTGAGTAAGTATCCTACAAACACGCCTTTAGTATTTTGTTTCTAAATCAACTAGTACTGAAGTAATTATAAGATAATGTGAACAACTTCATTGTTCAATTGAATCATTAGATCCTTGAAAGATACCAAATCCATCTTGTTTTCCCAGAGACTGAATGTTGCTTAGAGATGTGCTACAGAGAAAAAAGACAACGCCTACCAAATCCAAAGACAAACATGGAGAACATCTTAAACCCACAAAAGAAACGTAAATTCTAATGCGCACTCTTAGTTCTTCCCTGCATTCCTTATTCCTTCATAAGGAATTTCACTTGGACCTCATAATGACCACTTTTTTATTCTCAATTTTTTTATGATCTTCATATTTATTATCTCCCTATTTTGCAGAAACAGATTATTTCACCAAGAATATGTGCAGGGTCATGCTGCACTGTGTCTATTCTAACTAGAAATGCCTCAATGTACTTCCACTGTTGGAATCTATTTGACATTACCGGCCTGTTAACACTGGTCCAATCTGTAAAAGGTTTCAAGCTTTTCTTTTCTGACAATCAGAGAGACAGAGAAAGAGCTCCCCTCTGCTGACTCACTAGCCAAATTCCCATGAAAGCTGGGTCTAAGCTAGACCTGGACCAGCACTGGGATAGGGCTGGGGGCAGGAATACAATCGGGTCTCCAATGCTGGTGACAGGAACCCAATTACTTGAAAGATCACTGCTGCCTCCTGGGTCTGCATCTGTCAGAAGTGGGAGTAAAACCCAGGTACTCGATGTGGGACTTGGTGCCTCGGCCATTGGGCTAAACATCTGTTCCTCTGTAAAGTCGTGCAGTGGCATAGTCAAACCCCCTCCTGCAGCCTTGGCATCCCATTGGGCACTGTGGAGACCAGCTGCTGCACTTTTGATCCAGCCCAGGAAAACAGAGGATGGCTCAAGTGCTTGGGTTCCTAAACCCATGTGGGAGACCCCAAAGAAGCCTGGCCCGGCCTCAGACATTGCTGCCACGTGGAGAGTCGATCAGCAGGTGGAAGATTTCTTTCACCAAACCTCTTTCCCTCTCTGTGTAACTCTGACTTTCAAATAAATAAATAAAAAGGTTTAGACTGCAATAGGGATTTTCTCTTTGTCTTCACAGTTAAGATTTTTATATTTTCTGTGCTCAAATGCAAGGTTACTTTAAAAATATAATTTAGTAATAACTTCTATTTTCTTGAGTAAAGGAGTTTTCATGTAAATTATAGTCTCATAATTTGCATGATGCAACCTATGATAGATGTAAACAATATTATTTCATTAACTGGTATACTGACTGATCAAAGGAAGAAAAGCATGCTGATGAAATATCTGCCAGCTTAAAGGAAATCTTAATGAGCTAATAGGACAATCCTCTTCAGTTTTAAGAAATACATATAATCCAGTAATGGGAGCCCAAGTTTCAAAGTATCATATGCTGCCATGCTTTACTCTTTATGTGCTCAAGTTTCAAAGATTATTATCTATGTTTACTCACTTAAGTCAGTTTTGGATATGGTTAACAGTGTTGGGTCAAATTAGCTCCGAGGGCCAGTAGATTTGGCAAGCGATATGGGTATGTCTGCCAGAGATTTTCGATAGAGATCAGCGTCTTGACAATCCTGAGAAGCCAGCTGTCCTAGCCACAACTGCTCTACGAAAGTACTGTAGACTGGGTGCCTAAGGAAAAAACGAACTTCTCTCTCATAGCTCTGGAGGCTTGGAATTCCAAGATCCAGACATCAAAAGATTTGGTGTCCAGCAAAGGCCTTCTTCCTGGGTCATGCACAGCTGTCTTACTCAGTCACATGGTAGAAGAGGTAAATGGGTTCCCTGGCCTCCTTAATAAAGGAGCCTCATTGGTGAGGTCTTTGCCCAAGGCCTCACCTTCTAATACCATCACCTTGGGGAGTGGAGATCTCAATGCATAAAACGGGGGAGGCAGAAAAAGGTAACATAACCATCGAGATCACAGCACCCATTCACAAAAGAAAACACTAAGTTTCAAATAGAAATCTAAGACTCTCAAATTTATTTGAAGCTGATATTTATAGCATACTTAATAACATCTTGTAGAACCCTATTTTGAAGAACAAGCTGCTGTGCAGATGGAATCCTATCTGAAACTCCACTAAAATATCCAATTTAAAAATCCTGTCCAGAAATATTTTCACTGTAATTCTTGTTCAAATAAGTTCTTTAAAAAGCACTTAATTGTGCTGTCATTCTCTTCTCAACCCACTCCAATCAAGCACACTCACAGCACTACATCAAAATTTGACTTTTTTTTTTTACTGGATCATTTGGAACAGATTATTTACTTTTAAAAAAGTGTATATATATATATATATATAGCATCATTTTCTTAGCAATACCTGTGCTAATACCTTTGACACAAAGCAATCCCCATGCAAAATGTAAGATAGATATATAGTTAAACAAGTGTAAATATTGCAGTATACATCTCTACTCCCAAATAAAAGGAGAGAACTCCCAATGAAATTGTTAAATCTACCTTGACAATAGGAAGCTAGAATTTCTACTATTGTCTATATTTACAATGCCATGATACTTAGATAGTAGAATGTTGAATGTGTGTCTGTCGCTGAAGGACTATACTGTTGTAATAACATGGAGGGAAACAGTGGGGGAGATGTTGGGGTGTGAAGGAGGAAATCCATGTGCCTGTGGAACCATATCATGAAAAATAATTTTAAAAAATTACAAAGTGATAATACCCAACACGGGTACTGCATAAAAACAGACACACAGACTAATGGAAATGAATAGAAAATCAAGAAATAAGTTCAAAATTTTAAATGAAAAAGAAAAAAAAAAGACTTAGTTCTATTGCTTCTTGTATCTGTAAACTTCTATCAGTAATTTCTTCTTGTTGCAAAGCTTTTTACCATCAACTATATTTTCAAAATTTCACAAAGTACATTTTTGGCTCAACATTCTCTCAAGCTCCATCTTAAATCATCATCTCAAATTGGTGTGCCCACCTACCCTCTTAAAAGTCCTCCTGCTGCTGTCTCCAGCTTAGTCTCTTAGCTAAATTTTATCTTTCCAGTTACTCAAAACATCAAACTCCTTTTTCATGTCTACATCCACACCACAAGCAAATCACAGCAGCTCTATTTGCAAGATAAATCTATGATCTGGCTAGTGTGCACCATTTCCATTGCTACCACCTTAGCAGGAGGCACAAGCCATGAAGAGCTCCCATCCTGGAACACTGAAACAGTCTACTAACCATTCTCCCCATGCCACCATCACCACCTGTATGGTCTATTATTAACACAGCAGCTAGAGTAATCCCTTGAAAATATTCAAAAGACAAGTTACTTTTCTGCTCAAAACTCAAGTTATCACATGATTCCAAAACTGGGTCCTTTACAAAAGTTAACAAAGCTTTAAATCTTCAGAGTCACCTCTAAGTTCTATTACTTATGAACTCCTTTCCCACTGCTTTCACTGGCCTTCGGCTACACTAGCTACTATGGAAGTTTAGAATGACATACTCGGGCTTCCAGCCCATGCATGGAATTCCAAATCCAGCTGCTAACTCACATTCCCAGTGATGCCTATGCTGGCCATCCTACTGAACATTCCAACATCCTCAACCTGCCCACATTCCCATTTCTGCCACAGTTACACTAGCAGCCCCTTCTGGAGCACGAGTTTGCCAATTTATCAAGCTTGAATTATAACTAACCAACCTGTCCTCTAGAACTTAAGGTACACTAACAAGAACATAAAAAATTGAGAGATTTACTGCTGGTACCAATCTCTGCTTTATTCTACTTGGTAATGATTTCTCCACCCAACCCCATCCCCCACCCCCTACAGTATATTCTTTGATCACGAAATAAAAACCTAGTTGCAAAAATTGAAATAAATACTCCAGGAATGTGCAAGTTAACTGAACTTAGACAATTTGAATTCTTATGTAACTACTCTGACCTCATGGTTGCTAAAAGCATACAACTCAAGACATACTCAAGAAAAAGATAAAAAGTATTGATATGAAAATCACCATGTCACCCAGAAAGGAAAAAGAATTTGATACATTTCCTTATGAAAATTACCACGTCACCCACAAAGGAAAAAGGATTTGATACATTTCCTTGATAGGCAACCATCTGTATAGGGTATGTAGATTTAATTCTTTCACTGGCCATTTCTTCAAGCAAATTTCCCACTGTCTGCACTTAATTTATACACATTAGTTATTGGGGAGATTTTTTGTTGATCAGTGGCACAGTTCTCAAGCACTTACATACCAAACTACTCACACACATCGGATTAATTAAAAATCTTAATATTTACTTTGAATCTTAAGTCTATATGGTTCAGAGTCCATTTGCCTTGAAAGATTACACAAATGGCCAAAAACAAGGTCAAGGGGGAAACAATCAATGTGTATAACAAGGGAAGCAATGAAGATAAACCCTAGGGGAAAAGAACGCATGCAAATACAGAAAGTGCACACTTGAAGCCAAACCCGACTCCGAGGCTGTGGCTCGGGGACGGAGGAGGTCTCACTTGTTTACTAGACATAAATAATTCTCAGCCCCAAATCCAAGTTATTACTATTAATTTCAAACAAAGGTACTAAGTATAACCTTCAGAAATTAAAAATACGTGAATACACTTTCCTAAGTTTTCAAGTTAAAGATTAACAAATACAACTTAATGCAATGTTTCCACTTTTCCCAACCAGACCCAAAAGGAAAGAACTAAGAACAACGAATACTTGCACCTAGCAAGCAATTACACCAAAATTGTAGCTAACAAAGCTTTCAAGTTACTCAAACTTACGGCAATAAAAGAATGTCAGATCCGGGTTTTGAGGAAAGCCTAAGTAACTTTGGGAATGTCGCCTGTGGTCAGCATGTGTCCCAGGCTCCCACGTTCTCCACCCCTCCAGAACTGCATTATAAACTCAACAGTAAGAGGACAACAGACTCGCAGGTTGTAAATATTATATTTCTCCCACACAATGTTGTATGCGACATTTACTAGTTTTAATATGTATCCATAGGATTAATACTCAAAAGGAATACAATGTGGAAAGTGCAGAACTAAAGAAATAAGTCTATTTGAAAACAGAAGCACACATCTTTTAGGATTTAAAAATATTGCACATAATAAGGTCGCACAGAAATTACTGGCTGGTTTTACAAACAGAATGAGGTATTAGTCAATCTCTAGATAAAGGTAAGTGCAAAGTAGAGGAACTACACACATACACACACCAAAAAAAAAGACACATAAATTCAAATTAAGACCTAGAACACCAACAACTAAGAAATGCAAAAAGGTGGACAAGTAGCCATGGTTTCAACATTGTAAAATCATTAGCCAGGGAACAAACACGTAACAATCTCTTGGCAATATTTCTTAAGTTTGCAACTTTTTTAGCCTAAGTGACTATGAGCGATACAATCCTTTATCTCAGTTCAACTGTGGAAATGCATGGTTCTGTGGTAATTAACAAATCATCCCTTTCTAAAGCTTTCATTGGCAATTAACCAAGATACTGCTCTCCTTTGCTGACTCAATTATATAGTTCTATGTATATTTAGCAACTCAAGTCACAGATGCTACAGAGCATGCAATTTTAAATTAGGAAAGGTTTCACTGCAAAAATCACTCAAGTTCACACAATTTAAACGTAACTTTAAAAGTAAAGACTGTAAGTGTGTTATCAGGCAAACTCAAAGATTGCTTTTTGGAGGGGGAGTAATAAAACTGGCTACATTAATTAGCCCAAATGCATGTAGGGAAAAAGGACCCCAGGCAGGCTTTAACTTTTTAGAAAGAAACTTTCCAAATCAATAAAATAATTAGACTTTTCTACTGCTCAATGTTTGTCAATAATAATCTAAATGTATTTAACTGCCATATCAAATTGCTTAAATTAAGTGAAATCATGCACCTGTCAAACACAGTTCACAGAAAATTGTTTAGCCTCAAAGATACAGAGGAAGAGTCAACCAGCTGAATCTGACAGAACCCAAAGAACAAACTACTGTCCGGAACAGTCAGTGTACGTCGTGACCATGTTTCCTCTGCGCTGTGTGACAGTCCTGCAGTGCTTGCTGGATCCATGGAACCGATTCTCAGTCTGTACCGTGTGCCGATTGGGGGCATCAAAGCCACTGAAAGAAAACATCTTCTCCATGTCTTCAAACATGTCATCAAACAGTCCGCCTCCAAAAGAAAAGTCCTGGAAATGATGCCTCTGCCGACTGGAGGCGTCCTGATGGGCCTGGAAATGCTTCTCAAAATGCTTCTTGGAGTGAGTATTTTGGCTTTGACCAAAGAAGCTAAAGTCTTTAAATAAGTCATCAAAATTGAAATTAAATGACTGCTCAAAAGGACTTCCATTTCCTCTCTGTCCTTTGCCGTTAGTGAAAGCACTGTGCCCCAGTGCATCATACTCTGCTCGCCTCTCAGCATCTGAGAGCGTCTCATAGGCTGGAAATAAACAAAAGCATTCAAAATCACATACACATTCAAGCCTCTTCAGGTACAGGTATTCAAGTCTGTAGGCGAGGATCTAACACCATAAATAAAAGCAATCATTGTAAAAATAAGGGTTACATTAAAGTCACAGATATAAAACAAATCAGGGTCTTTATCTTGTTGTCCTCTGTATTATTAACAACATAATACCACTGATAGTAAATACTCAATAAATAACTTGTCAAATGAATACTTCCATTAAACCACAAATATACATGGAAAATGGTTAGAATTCTTCACCCTTCCTATCACTGGTATAAAAATCACTACTTCTATTTAAAAATTAGATAATCAAGTATAACCAATTAATAGAATTTCAGATTTTTGCTTCCTTACTAGGTAAAGCAATAATTTAATTCCAGCTCACTATACCTACACCCACAAATTACTAAATGTCCTGTACCTGCAATTTGCTTTAGAACTAGTTTCAAGTGAAAATGTGTGTCACATGTCTCCTTCAAAGACAAACATGTCTGTGAAATGCCAAATAGAAAAGAGGCATTTGAGCATATTCTGCATTCTTGTTGCACTATTGTGCTTCATAAATTATTTGACAAGGATTTTATCAAAAATGCCTTTCAATTAAAAACACAATTTAAAAAATAATAAAATGATACATTTTCAATTTTAGATGTTCATGTCAAATCAACAAAACTATCTATTATCATCCAGTCACTTAGGAGTCAGTTAACTGTACTACCAAAAAACCCCAAGAGAATCCCATTACATGTAAACCCAACATCCCTGCGCCAACTCCACGAAACCTCACTTGATTCCCTTTAGCTGGGACACCTCCCAGACGCATTTACCTTCTGCAATCTCTCTGAATTTTGCTTCCGCATCGGGGCTCTTATTTTTGTCCGGGTGGTACTTCATGGCCAATTTGTGAAAGGCCTTCTTGATTTGGCGCTCGGATGCCGATTTTGGCACCCCCAAGATGTCATAGTAGCTTTTGGAGGCCAGAATTAATTCTGTTATCATCAAAATGCAGATGGCAAAGACGAAAACTGACTGGGGCGTAGCCATTTCTGATATCCTAAAAAAGAAACAAATATTTATCAGTGGAGCTAACCTTAAACACTTTCTTCCCTTTTAAAAAAACCCAGTAAGTCTTCAGAATACACAATAAATATAATGCAGTATTAAAACAGCAAAGCCGGCAATTTGTACCCATTCACACTTCATTTATACAGGCTTGGTAACTCTGAACTACATCCAACCCTGTTGAAAACAGTTAGAATTCAATCAAACTGAAACAACCTTCTTTGCCTCTTCCCTCATACTCTGGCTGAACATCAAAATGGCATGACACTGTCATGACATAAATTTTTATTAGTTACTAATTTTTCACATAAAAGTTACCTTTTAGAAAATATCTTAAAGGATGGAAATCTTAAAGAATTAATATTCTGAAGGGATAACATATTTAACTAGCAAGGCAAACAGCCCCAAGTGTCTAAATCAGTAACCTTGGCTTTCTAAAAAAAACCACTTTGGCTTTGATTCCGGCAGGTAAGCCACGCACTACAATCTCAGCAGGAACACTGATAATACACTGCAACGATTTCCACCCTTTTTCTCCAAGAAATAGTTAACAAAAATGCAGGGATCAAAAAGTTCGGCTCAAAACACCTAATCAACAGAATGGAAGATTTCCACCAAGGTTGTCAAAAAAAAAAGAATTTTGACAAGTTTGTATTTTAGTTAAGCTATTTTTTATTACGATTTTCAAACTTCTTAGGGTGCTAGAGTCCTCCGCTTCCCTTTAAGGGCACTAAAGACGTCTCACGGTCATTTCTACTTACTTAGAAGTCAAAGCCCCAGTGATTGATTTCTTTTTGATTTGTTTTTCGTGGGTTTTGTTTCTGCGAGGACTGTGCCTCAAGAACCCTTCCTTGAACAATCCAAGATGATGACACAACCAGGCTGACGAAAAGCCACTCTGCTTTGTGCAAACTGCCTGCCTTCCTCTCCTGGGGCCCTTTCCGCTCTCCATCAGCAGGTGGATTCCTGCTCTGCTGAGTCGCTCCCGTGGTCACGGGGACCCAGTGCGAGCTCACGGAGGGACTGGTCCGGCGGACGCCGGCTGCAGGCTGCTCCGGGGTGACAGGGCGGGACTCAGAGCCCACACACAGGCAGGCACCCCACTCCGTTTAACAAACGTTATTTCGCCGTTTCACGATCTCTCCTTCTTTCACGGACAGCTCCCCGCAGCCCAGGCCTTGTCTGCGAACGCTGGTGGCCGGCCCTGGCAACCCACCCTCAAGGAGACCGCGGCGGCCGCCCTGTCCACCCAGGCCCCGCCGGGGCTCCCCGATGCCTAAAGCGGCGCCGGGACGAACACAGTCGGCCATCTCCGGTCTCGGCCACTCGTCTGGCACAGGCAAGCCGAAGCCTCCCCGAGCTGCAGCTCCCCAACGCTGCGACTCTTTCTCCTCCCCAAAAAACACACACAGCTCCGGGCCCATGGACGCCGCCGCCACCGCTTCCCCGCGCCCCCGGCCTCGTCCCTCACCCGCACCCTCTGACGGCGGCTCCTCTTTCACACGGCCGAGGCGATTCCCGGGGCCCCGGTCCCTCCCGGAGCCGGCACGCGTCCGCCCCTGCGCCGCTGGCCCTCGGACCTCACGTCTCCCCGAGCCGCCGCGGCAGCGTCCTCCCGGCTCCCGCTCCCTTCTGGCGGCCGGCCGCTGCAGGCGCCACCGCCTCAGGAGTGAGATCTACACGAAACGCTTCCTCATTGGCTGCCGGGTGCCCACCTGACCCTGGCGCGCTACGCGCACGTGGAAAACTGTTGTGGCCGCGCCAGCTGTGCGTCACTTCCCTCCGTACCCCCCCAAACCCCAAAGGGGTGAGGCTGAACTCCGCAAGGGCGGAAGTGAGTCGCCAGGAGCCGCGGCTGTTCGGCCCGCGGTGGGTCTGCGCGCAGGCGCAGTGCCTCGGTGGGCCAGGAAGCTGGACCCCGCCTCCATCTTAGTGTCCCAGAGCTCGTCGGGTCTGCTTCTCCGGTGGGCAGCCGAGACATGCCCCGCTACTGCGCAGCGATTTACTGCAAGAATCGCCGGGGACGAAACCATAAAGACCGGAAGCTGAGTTTTTACCCGTAAGTGGTCTCGGGAGCGGAAACGCCAGCTTCGTATTTGGACCAAGGTGTCCTGTGGCCTTTGGAGCCGGGGACTGTGAGTGTCCACCTGTCTGATGGGCAGTGTCCTCGGCGGGACGCCGGCAGGTGGCGAAGCCGGGAGAGAGGGCTGGGGGCACTGCTGGGGTGTCAGTAGAGCAATTCTGAAAGAAAAGTTAGTGCGGTGGGCGTCTAAGCCTTTTCCTGCCTTCACCCGCCCTCCCGTCCTGTGTGACGCTGCCCGGGACTCTCGTCGTGCAAGCAGGGGACGGGTGGCCGGGTGAAACTGAAATGACGAGGGCCATGAAGTATTTCCGAGAGATGGTAAAACGACTGCTTTTTCTCTTGGAAGAACCGGGGTGTCTGCAGGAAGTTAAGAGTCGGGGCTCCAGAGCCCGTCCAAGGGGGACCCTCGGGGTGTCACCTGTCAGGTGGGGAGCTACGAAGAGCACCTCGTTCATGCTTGGTGTGTAGAGAGATAAATCAACACATGTGAGGGTCAGGTAGTTGATCCGCATGAAAAGTGACCAAATTTAAATATCTCGTTTCCTCTTTTGTATTTAAAAATAACTTCTTAGCATCCCACTGTGGTTTTCACTTTCTGCAAATGTCTGTCAGTTATTTTCTGTGAGTAGACCTGAGGTCCTAATTGACTTAGTGATTCATTCGCTTAGCCTACATGTTAAGAGCAGTATGTCCTTGGCTGTCTCCAGTAGAAGTTTTCCAGAAGATGCAGAGAAAGATTTGCAGGGAGAAATACCTAAAGCCTGGCCAGTTGCTAGGGAAAGCTCTAGTCTGACAAAATCTGGATTAGAAAACCCTTTTGGAATTTGTTTAGCCCCGCATTGCCCAGGTTTACTTGGCCGTGCATGTTTAAATGAAACTTTAACATGTTTTTGCAAATTATTTCTGTTGTACAGATATGCTCACAGACCATTAAAAATGTGGTGAATAGCTTTCGAAATTGAACTATAGAAATTTTTCAAGTTATTTCAAGGAAAAACGATACTAATAATGCAAATTAATTCTAAAGATTTTTGTCCTCATAATGTGTATATGTTATCTCCAAAACAAAAAGTGAATTCGTTTTCATAGCATCAACCTTGAAAATCTGAATTTGCTGAGGCCAACCGTGTAGCAAGCTGTAGCATAAACCCTTATGAATTTGGGAACACAGTCAGTAGAGTGAGAATACACTGAACTGTCTAGATGCATTGCACTGGACTCTGACAAAATTTTCAAAATATATAACAAAGTTCTAATTTTTTTTTTTAATTTCAGGTTTCCTTTGCATGACAAAGACAGACTTGAAAAGTGGTTAAAGAATATGAAACGAGATTCCTGGGTACCCAGTAAATACCAGTTCCTGTGTAGTGACCATTTTACCCCAGACTCTCTTGACATCAGATGGGGTATTCGATATCTGAAACAGACTGCAATTCCAACGATATTTTCACTGCCTGAAGACAGCGAGGTATTGGAATGGGTCAGGGTAATGACTGAGCAGGGTGGGAGTTACGGAGTGGCAGGTGACCGAGCAGGATGGGAGTTACGGAGTGGCAGGTGACCGAGTGGAGAAAGGAGGAGAGATCGCAGTAAAGAGAAACACTAACTTGTGCTTTTTCTTTAAATTGTCCTGAAATATGGTTTAAGAAAAGCAAAAGGTAACACACATAAACATTATTAACATTACTAGTTTTTCTAGTCTTTTGAAGGCTCTTAATGTTTTAATATTGAATGGGCTTTATGCTTTAAAAAAAATGTTTAGGTATATGAAAATTGTTCCATATTTAAATTTTTTTTTTTTAGTTTGCCTGACCACTATACTGCTAAAGTTACAGTTAAATAGTGTTAACCAATGAGAAAATAAACGTTTAAGGGAAGCTTTATTAGAATTTGAATATCTTATTTTCTAGGGAAAAGATCCTTTGAAAAAAAAACCTCAGAAGAAAAAATCAGAAGAGAAGGAAGTTTGCCTGCAAGCCAGCCAAGAAGGATCATTTGCATCAAAGGTGACAAGCAAAAATCTGGACAGAGGTGTGCCACCTAAACACGCAGAATCACTTCATTCATTTGCCTTGGTCACACCACCAGCTCCAAAAGCAGGAAGCATACAAAATAGCATAGTAACTCTCAATCTAGTTGGACAAGACACAGCAAAACCAGAATCTACCTCAGAAACAGCAGTTAACCAAGATACTGATCTAGGGAGTTTTCACACACCTTTTGAGAATCTCAGTTCTACAACTGTGACTTTGACAACTTCAGATTCTGAAGATGCTCAGCAGTCTTTGGAAACCCAAGAGCTTCTTGAAAAAAACCCCAATCATCATGCTAATCCAACGCTCACGAATTCCATGGAAATCAAATCACAGGAAAATCCGTCCTTGCTCAGTCCAATTAACCAAACAGTTGAAGAATTGAACACAGATAAAGAATCTGTTAGTGCCAGTTTTGTACCCACAGAAGATTCTAAACCTGCAATTAATTGTTTTACACCTGCCGGAAAAGAAATTACAGAAATGGAAGACACAGACATGGAAGACTCCTTCTGTAGGAATCTAGACTATGGAACAGAAGTCTTACAGCTTGAGCACTCTTACTGCAGACAAGACGTAAATAAGGAAAATCTCTGGCAGAAGGTCTCTAAGCTGCATTCAAAAGTAACTCTTCTTGAGCTACAAGAGCAACAAACTTTAGGAAGGTTGAAATCTTTAGAAGCTCTTATAAGGCAACTAACACAGGAAAGCTGGCTATCTGAAGAGAATGTTAAGGTTATAGAAAACCATTTTACAACATATGAAGTCACCATGACATAAAGAGGTTTAAAGACTTTAACTGCAAAATCAGAAATTATATGTAAAATGTATGCAGTTTTCATATTGTTAAAGTTATGAAAGTCCTGTAATGTTACAAATGGCATTCTATTCTTGTAATAATGATTATTTTTTGAGAAAAAGAAAGTGGTTGAGCTGGACAAAAGTTTTGACTACTAGATGATATTCTAAATTAAGAAACAATGAATAAATAGTCATAAAGTGAAAGAATAGTCCAAAATAGAAGCAGTAGAAGAATTAGTCTTGATTCTACATTAGTATGTGATGTGGGTAGGTTTCTCATCAAGCTACGCTCAGGCCCTAAACCATCTCCTAATAGTCTATTTATAGTTTCTTCCTTCACTATTAAGATATATTTATCAGGACAGGTTTTCTATAAGATAATATATACTTAAATGATAGTTTTAGAATTTGACTAAGTATTGGATTCTCCTTAATATTTATTGAATCCTGTGTTGTTTGACTTTGGCTATAATTATATATCTGTAATATAATGGAAAATACAGCTTTTGTTCAGTTTAAACTAAGGAAACACCCATTAGCTCAATTCCGAGAAGAGGCCCCTTGAAGTTGAAAGGGTATTGTATTTCAGTACCTTGTAAAGTGACTGACTGTTGTAACACGCAGTTATTTAATATTGGAGTAAACATCGTATATACGTAATTACATTTGCATACCAGAAATTTTAGTGAAGTTGGTTTAAAATACATATTTTTTAGAAATCATAGTTTGTATCTATTTCTGGATAGTTACAGCTTTTAAAGTGTCTGTTATTTCAGAATAATATTAGTATACCTCACCACGTAAGTATAATGAATTTAATAATCAAAAAATTATAGATAAGTGATGATCACCATAGGCAGTTTTCCTGGTAGAACAAAGAAGTGATGTTGACAAAGACACTGCTTATATGCACACAACTGAAGAAAAAGAACTGTAACAGCAAACTGCTCTGTGACATCACCAGTTTAGACAGATATGTTCTCTAAAACTTGGCTGTTGGTATACTTTTAGTTTACTCATCTATTATATAAAAAAAATACCATTATTTGTCTTAAAAGATAGTATTGAGCATTCCATAAGGTGAACAGTATGTCTGGAAGGTAGGAGGTGCTCAATAAATACTGTCTCTGAAAAGCAAATAATATCCTAGTTGCTTCCTAAATGCATGATGCTTTTTTTGTCTACTAGATTTCACTTGATTTCTCCATGCCAGTAACATCAATTGATATCATATGAAAGTTTATTGGTTAATTTCAAAAAGCTTAGAGGTCTTCATTGGTGAACTCGGGGAGAACAGAATTTTTAAATATCAGTTATATGTGGATAATCAGTAAAATTAATACAGTGTTATTTTTTAAGTATTACCTTCTCACTTTGCCAGCTTATGCAATACAGATGAAAGTGGCTAAGCCTCGGTGAACTTGTAACATCTCAATTCAGTTTTCAACCATGTACATAATAATTTTTTGTTTGTTTATAGATTCCTTAGGAAGGTATCTCTGTGTCTAGCAGTTTCTTTAAACTTAATAAATTGTTTAAGACATGTTTGTGGCTTATGCATATTCAGTTGTGGATGCTCTCAGCCTAACCCAGTTCAACCTTCAATTTGTAATTTATAATTCCAGGATCTGGCCAACTTACTTTCTTACCCAGACCATGACAGTGGCCTCTGAGCTAATCCTGCTTCTGTTTTCAAATTTTAATTTGGATTTCATCGTAGCCTCTGCTATCCGCTTTTGTCTTACCCACAGATCTAGCTCCATCTCCCTATCTCAGAATCACTCTAATGTCTACAAAACAAAGCCATACTTGTTACCATTATGTGTATGAGTTTCCAAACAAATTTTGCACCAAAGGTGTCATTTAATCCCATTTTCTACCAATTTTTTTAAAGTATCCTTTTATGATTCTCTGATTCTGTTCACCCTGTGTTCCAACCACACTAGATTTCTTAGCATTTAAAAATTAAGTCGGTTGATTTCTTAATTGAATTTCTAAACTGAGCCAGCCTATCCAAATTATATTTCAACTTAGTTGGAACTTCACTGTTTGTTTTATAGTTAGAATTGTTTCCATCTGTGATTGAGCTCAAATACAGCTAGCTGGATACAACCACTCTAAATTCATGAGCACCAACCTCAGATGAATCCACAGATATTTCTTCAGGACATTTGTAACTCCAGTCTCAAATTCTTCCTCACGCTCCTCTCCTGCTCCTCCCTCTGGTTTGCCCCGGTGGAGGATCTCGCCCGCATGCTTCACTGAGAAAATCCAGTCATTCAGCCTCCCTCATCATGGACTGGATTGTGGGCAGTGACCACATGAATGAGGTCATAAAGGCGAGGCTGTACGAGGGAGCTGCCCTTCCCTCCCGGAGAGCCAGGCATCTGCAGGTCGGCAAGAGCGCCCTCACCTGGAACCTCAAGTGAGCCTGCAATAAATTTAAAATTACAGCTATCAGCTGTGCGTGGGTTACCACCTGGAAGAGTCTTCAGACTCCTGGCTTTGGACCAGCCCAGCTTCTGCCATTGCAGCCAATGCGGGGATGAACCAGCAGATGAAAAATCTCTCACTCTCTCTTCCTCCTCCTCCTTCTCTCCTTCTTTCTCTATAACTGTCTTTCAAATAAAAATAAAATAAGTCTTAAAACAGAGAGAACAAAAGGAAGACCCTATAAGGATATGGTGAAAAGGCAGATATTGTAAGCCATGTTTTTTCATAAATCTCTCCTGGTCTGGGAAAACCTGTAGAAAACCCACGGGGCCCCAGCCACCCAAGTGGGAGACCCTGATGAAGCCCCAGGCCTCTGGCTTCAGCCTAGCCCAGCACTGGACATCTCTCTGGTTTATTTTCTGGGTGGAATGTCTAGTTGAGTTCTTATCATCAAATTTATCTAGAGACGAAAATAAGAACAAAATAACATGAGAAAGAATCAAAAGGATCACAAGTTGGTGGCAAGGGGAAGATGGAGACATGACAGACAGACTCCAGGCTGGAGAGTCTCCTGTTCAATTTAGAGGAAGCTAGAAGGCTCAGGAATAGAGTTCTTCAAGACAATGAAAATTCATAAAACAAATAAAAATAACCCATGTGATGAAGATTCAAAAAAGAAATTTATATAGATGAGGAAGAAATGTTAGTGTGAAATTATAAGTACACAGCATTGGAAGAGATTGACCCGGGTGGAGAGAATGGAGGACTGGGGTTTTGGTTGTTGGTGGTTGGATTTTAGCAGCAAGGCTTGTAGCACACTTACTTCCTAAGCATATGCATAAGGACTATAAGCTCACTTCTACTCATCCTTCAGGACTGACCTCGAACACTAGAAAGCCTTCTTTCTTGCCTCCAGGAAGCTTCTTATTTAGTCTACCAGCTCTCCTTGCATAATTGTATTAGAATTCTTACCCTCTGTCACTATTGCTTGTTTGCTTGTTTTCATAATCAGAGTGTAAATTTTCATCCTCCCAAAGTGTGTGTTTTCATGGACCTTTTAGCATCATTGCCTAGCACAGTTTCTGGTACAACAGCTCCATAAACATTGCCCCGGTGAACAGCACCCATTAACCCATATTTCTGGAACTATTTTGCTGGGTCTAATTTGAGCTCCACACAAAGACAATCAGCATATAAATTAACCAATTTACAGCTTCATGAGTGTATTATTATTGCCCTATTATTCAAGTGGACTCTGGTAAAATATTAACTTGAATTATAGTGTGAATAATGAGATCTCTTCTGGTCTCTGTTATAACAATGACCAGAGTTATAGGTATAATACTAAATAGGAAGGTGATGTAGTATTCCCTCTAGAGTGTGATTTTATGAGTTGGGGGTCAAAACCAAGAGAGGCTTCCATAAAGCTAACTGAATCCCCCAAAACTTAATAAAAAATTTTGCGTACAGGCATTTTCCTGAAAAGAGATCTCATAAATTTTACTAAATTAGGAAAGGGGAAAATAATTGCCCTTGCCCAGCCTAAAACACCACTGCTCAGAGCAACAATACATTTTACCCTGTGCTATTCATTAGGAAAGCATAGGGCTCATTACATATTTTATTCTCTGAAAGAACTGGAAATACAGAAATGGGAAAACTACTAAACTAATTTGGAATACATAAATATTTGCCAGTTCAGCCTTGTGATTTTAATGAATAAAGGAGTGGACCTAGAACTAAACAGAGTATGCTCAGATCTCAAAGCAGACTAGGAACATTCCCTGCAGAATTAGACAAATACCAGCTGACAATTTTGTGCAAAATAAATTTTAGCCTTTGAACTACTACAGGAAATGTCCAAAAATAAACTCGGTGTTTAAACAAGTATTTTGGGGGTCACCACAAAATAATTATTGAAATTGTGTTCTTATCTCTTGATTATTGAAATACAATCCAAAGCAAGCAGCAATGAAACAGGAGCCAGTTGCAGAGGTACCTAAATCTTGAGTTTTTGCAGTGCATGGTTCAGCTACTCCATTAATAAAAGTGTGTGGTGTTTAAGTATGCACAATGGATTGGAATATCATAAATGTGAAATGAGGTTAATTTTGTTGAGCTTGAAACTCTGGTTTAATCTAAATGAAAATGAATTCCCTGGCATTCTAAGACTAGAATGTACCAGGAAAAAAAAAACAGATAAAAAGGAAGTCAATCAAGTTAGTTTTGTGTTATTAAAATACGAAAAAGAGTTTTTGAGAGAGTAAAGAGAAATAGGTAAAAGGTACCTGCAGAGCCGCTGAATTATCCACAGAGAGGCCAGCACCACAGCTTATCAGTGCTGGCAGCTTTGGAATATTAAACAATGCATTAAAGATATATTTGGCCAAAATTCTGTTTTTAGGGGTCTGGGATATTCTATAGCACATCAACTTCTAGCCTCCCTGTTTAATTTCTCTGATTTAGAAATGATAAAATATAAAATGAAATAATATTATATAATATAGGAAGCATCTGGTTTCTAGTTTGCTTTGGTAATATAATTTGATCTTTGGAAGTAGAAGCACGCTACTAGATACCACCACAGAAATGTATACTTGATTATCATCACAAAAATGCATTTCTAAACAAGAATACTAGAAACAAAACCTTTCTGATAAAATATTTGAGAGGGAGAGAGGGGGGAAGAGAGAAGCGGAAGAAGAGAGAGAAAGAGAGACAGAGAGAGTGCACTACCATCTGATGCCTCACTCTCCAAATGCCCATCATATCGAGGTTACGCCAGGATCAGAAATTCAATCCAGGTTTCCCATGCAAGTGCAGGGACCCAACTCCTTGAGACAATGCTGTCACCTCCGTGTGTGCATTAGCAGGATGCTGGGAGTCAGGAGCTGAAGCTGAGAGTCACCCCCTGCCCTCTGGTTTGGCACATGAGCACCTTTTTTGGCTTGGTCGTTTTGAAAGGTAGATTTTACAGAGACAGACAGGAGAGCTAGAGAGAGGTTTTCCATCTGCTGGTTCATTTCCCAAATGGCGGCAACACCCAAAACTGAAGTAATCCAAAGCTGGAATCTAGGCGCTTCCAGGCCTTCCATATGGGGTGTAGGGGCCCAAGGACCTGTGTTATCCTCCAGGCCATACACAGATTGAGTTGGATCGGAAATGGAGCAGCCAGGAGACCAACCTAGGACACAGGGATCTAACTGCCAGACTAAATATATGCACAGTCCCACTCCAAATGCAGAATTGAAATGGAATCCACTGAGACTTTGTAACACACGCACTTTTAATCTGTTCTGCTTAGTATCCTTCTTATTAGGGAGTTGCTAGTACAAGTCAAGGATTATCTGATTTTCTTCCATTTGTTAGATTTCGTCAGCAAAAAAAAATTTTATCTGTGTTTGGACTTACTATTTGCAGAGAAGTTTTTGAAAACAAATTCAGTTTCTTTTTTCTTAAAGATCTATTTATTTTTACTTGAAAGCAGATGTACAGAGGAAGGAGAGATAGAGAATCTTCTATCCATTGGCCCACTTCCCAAATGGCTACAATGGCAGAACACAGCAGATCTGAAGCAAGGAGCCAGGAGCTTCTTCCGAGTCTCCCATATGGATGTGGCATCTCAAACACTCCATTACTTTCCCAAGCCATTATTAGCAGGGAGCTGGATCAGAAGTGGAGCAGCTGACACACAAGCTGGCACCCTTATGGGATGCCAACACTGCAGGCAGAGGATTAGTTTGTACAGCCATCATGCCAACCCCAAGACTTCTTTTAGAAGTTATCATTTCATTATGGACTTCTTGGCATCAGTCACTGGTCAGAATGACTGTAGTACTATCACGATGTGTGGATATGAAAGCAGATGGTCACCACCAGTTATCTTCGTTCAAGGCAACTACTCCCTATCCCATCAAGAGAGAGAACAGAACCTATCCCTCCCCTTTTCCATCTGGACTGGACTTAATGTCTTACCTGATGTTCTGGGGCTTCTACATGTAGACGTTAAAGAGCCTGGTAGCCTCTGCCTGGGCCGCCTAATACACTCACTTCTGGGGAAATATGTTGCCATGTATGTAATCGGACTACACTGGACTCAACCACGTTCTACAAGCCATGTGCACTTTCTCTTATCAGTTACTCTGAGCCTTGTCTTCTAGTTGATCTCGCAGACACTATACATCCTGCTGAAGCCCTCTGGCCCACCACAGCAGCCCAACTTCTGACCAAATGCCACTGGCTCCTTACCTGAGCCAGGCCCAGCTCTAATTGTTGTAGGTATTTGCTGTGTGGATCAGAAAATAGATGAGTTTTCTGTCTGTCTACCTTCAGGTGAATAACATGAATGCATTTTTTGTTAAGATTTTTAAAAGAGGAATTTATCCCCACATCTGTGAGGCTGCAAATCAGTTGGCAAAGAACCTGGAAACATCCTGCCCAAATGTGTCATGCTAAACAAATTATACACAAGTAAATATATGTATTTCCTAGTCAATTTTGTTATTCTCTTCATAATCACAATACATATACAAGTAAATATATGTATTTCCTAGTCCATTTTGTTATTCTTTTTCATAATTATAATACACAAATGTGATGTCCAAAAATTAGAAAAATCTCACCAACAGTTATTTTCATTCTTTCTGACTTTCAATTCCGGCTGTATTCTATGCTAAAGGTATCATAATGTACAAGCTTGTTAGATTACATTTTCAAGTATAAGGAAACATGCTGTGACTCAGGGGTTGGGCTTGCGAGATTTGGGCTGGCATAACTCAGATTTCACAATGCCAAGGGATGCAAAGTCTGCAGCAGGAGCTTTGCTTCTTCAGAGAATTCTAACCTACTGGAGAGAGAATAGACTATGCATACTGGGTGT